TGGAGCAGACGAGCATGTTTCACAGCACAGGCGCGGGGTTAAGTCTTTCTTCACCATCCCGATTGGGAGAAACCTTCCGGGGGAACCCGCCCCCGTGGCTAAAACAGGCGATGTCCTTGCCGGGCCATTGTTCTCCGGGATCGGGCTGCGGCGCAAGCTGAGGGCGCCCGGACAAGTGCAGCGTCTGCCTTTTGGCCGCGTGCCGGTGGCTCCTCTGGGCCCCACAGGAAGCTACTTCTCCAACCTGGAGACCATGTGCCCCCCGCCGCTGTCAGCTGGGGGTCTGGCTCCTGCTCTGGACGCTGGAGCTTCGTGGCAAGTCTGACGTGAGCCCAACCGAGGGCCGTTTTGTAGAGCACAGATCAAAAGGCTTCGTTTCTCACCGCCCCTGTCTCCCCAGCCGGGCCGGGGGCAATCCGGAGCCTTGGCTCGGTGCGATATCCGGTTGGGGGTTCGCATCTTGCCACGTTTTCATTCCCGTTCCACGTGATTTGACTGGGAGTTAAAACCGAGTGGCCCTGTGGCACCCCGAGTCACACAAGTAGCTTTGTAGCATCCTGAGCTTGCGTGGGCACAGCCCACTTCCCCCGTGAGCCGGGAATGCCGGGAGACGGGAGAAGGAAGGGAGGCGGCTCCCGTCCATTGTGGGACTGTGCGAACGAGGCTGATGGACTGGGCTGGCCGTGTCCCAGGCGCAGCTTGCGATGTCACAGTGCGGTGTTAGAGGCAGGGAGCCAGGCTTTCCAATGCGCTATCCAGCTAATGGCTCTGCTCCGGCCCAGGGAGACAGTGGCGCCTTTGCAGAGGCAGGCCGGTTCCGCGTGCTCTGCAGCGGCTGGTGAAATGCCTCTGGAGAGCAGCTGCTCTCAAAGCAAACCCCCAAACACCCACTCCAGTGCACAGAGGGGGAGGGGAGGAAAGGTCTCTCTGCTTCTGCCGATCCGTCATGGGCTTTCCCAGGGCTGTGCTGGTAGGAGGCCCCCCCGTGCTGGGAAGGGCCAAGCAGCGGAGTTCCCCAAAGGCTGTTCTCCCGCGGCCAGAACGTGCCCTGCTCTCCCCCCACGGCTCCCTGCTGCTCTCAGGGCACTGCATGGGGGGACGTGCCCAAGATGGGTGTTCTGCGACATGCCCAGAAGGGTTCCTTATTGGTCAGCGGCAGAGGGAGGCGCCGCACCCTGCGCGGGAGCCAGGGATCCTTCCTAGCGGCTCTCTGGGCGCCTCGAGGCCACAAAGCATTGCTCCAGACTGCTGCCGGCGTGCCTGCCCCACCGTGCCTCAGGCCAGTTGCCCCCAGGCTGGCCGGGCAGGGGTGTTGGCGCTGTAACTCCTGCCCAGGCAAGGGGGATGGAGGTCTGCCTGCAGGCCTGCCTTCCCTGCTCACCGGGGGCTGCCAAGGCCCCTCCTGCCCCCAGGGGGCTTCCCAGGGGGACCCCACCCCTCTTTCCAGTGCTGGGTGCCTGCCCTCTGGGGCCCAGGGCTCAGCCCACGGGGGAAATCCCAACCTGCGGCTGTGGCCATTGGAGGGCTGGTCCCCAGCCCCACGCCTGCACGCACAGGAATTCCTCTCTCCGTGGCTCTTCGGGGTCCCCAGGGGCCCACGGCGCAGCCCCCCACAGGAATGGGTCAGTGCCCGAGGGGCCCTCAGGAATGGGTCAGTGCCCGAGGGGCCCTCAGGAATGGAGCTGTGCCAGAGGGGCCCACGGCGCGTCCCCAGCCCATTGACAGCCCAGCGCGGGTTCAGCTGTGGCGCCGCAGTGGTGGGCCAGGCCGCACCCTGTGAGCGAACGCAAGGTCACTGGCGCTGCTGGAGGTGCGCCTACGCCCGGGCCTGCCTCTGCCCCTTGTGGGCATGGCCCATTGTCCTGGGCCTCATGGGAGCTGCCGGCCATAGGGCGCAATGAGCCAGCAGCAATGGGAGGTTTCCCTGGAACCAGCAGCACACGGGGCCTCTGAAGAGGAGGCGCCGCCGAGGGGCTCTCGCTCACTGGGGGTGGGACCCGAGGGGGGGGGCGGGACCCGAGGGCGCTGCTCGGGAAGACTCGGCCGGGGGGCTAGGAGAGCTGGGGGTGGGACCCGAGGGCGCTGCTCGGGAAGACTCGGCCGGGGGGCTAGGAGAGCTGCTTTGAAGCCCTGTCTTTACCGGGCTGCAGGAAGGCTCGTAGGCAGAGTTGGGCCCGGCGCGGCTCCCTGGCTTTGCAGGGCGTGGCGGGGGGCGGCTCCAGCAGACTTACCTTTGCCAGTGTGAGGAGGAAAAGGCCACTGTAGCTTTGCTGCCCGCTGGAGCATGAAGCGTGTTTAATTTAATAACGCTGATAAATCTCAGAGCCAGGAGCAGTTGGCTAACACATGACCCACTTTTTCAATCAATTGGAAACATTTACATAAGCGCCGGGCTCGGGTCTGCGCTTGCTGGGGAGGGAGGAAGGGCGCAGACTGCACTGAGCAGACGCCCCGGACTGGCTGCAGCTTAGACGCGTGCCTGGCAAGGGTTTGCTAGCCCCCCCGGCCGCGCAGGGCACACGCACAGCAGGTGCGTCTCATGCAGCTGGAGGAGGGCAGAGCGATGAGACCCGTCAGTTGAGCTGTGAGCCGGGCATTCGGGGCGGCCTTGTCTTTTCCCTCTTGCCCGGTGCGAGAGTCAGCACCTGGGTCTTTCCCTGTTGCTCTAGGGGTGCTGAGTGGCGGAGCCCTTGGTGCCAGCTCTGTTCTGCTGCATTGGGGGGTAGAGCAAAGGTATCCCCACTCCCCGCCCCTCCCTGCCCATCTGGGGGAGCGAGCATGTCCCAGCATGCCTTGAACCAAGGGCCGGGGAGGCCACACAGGCGGGCACCCCCAAGAGAGCCGTAAGTGCATGGCCCCCATGTGCGCTGGCGAAGTGGGGGCAGCTGATCCCTTGGGCTGCCCCAGGGTTTCTGGGTGCCCCAGGAACGTGCCTGCCACATGCTCCCAACCTCCCAAGTGCTTTTCTCCGCGGCATCCCTGATGGCCCCTCCTGGGTCCTGCAGCACGGGTGGCCCTGGCGGCCTTTTCCCGCTGCTCTGGAAGGCTGTGTGACGCTGACCCCGCGGCCGGGGGTGTGGGAGCTGCTCCCTGCCCCGGGTGGTGGGGCTGTCCTAATTAGCACGTCTCTCCTGGACGCGTGTTCCCGGATTCAGCAGTTGTGGCTAAGACGCCCTCCAGCCTGGGGCTGGTTTGCACGGGACAGGCAGTGCCAGCTGAGGGCGCTCCCGACAGCACGCCAGGGGCCCAGGGCTCTGCGCTGCCAGGCCGGGGAAGGCGACTGCTGGTTAGTCTGGAAAGGAGAAGCCTGAGCGGGGACATGACAGCAGCTTTCAAGTACCTAACGGGAGGGGGAGAGGATCGTTCTCCTTGGCCTCTGGGGACAGGACAAGCAGCAAGGGGCTTGAACTGCAGCCAGGGAGGTTTAGGTTGGACATGAGGAAAAACGTCCTGCCTGCCAGGGTGGTGAAGCACAGGGATAAATTGCTGTGGAATCCCCATCCCTGGAGAGATTGAGGAGCGGGTTGGACAGACGCCTGCCAGGGATGGTCGGTGCCTGGTCCTGCCGTAGGGCAGGGGACTGGACTCAGTGCTCTCCCGAGGTCCCTTCTGGTTCGAGTGTCCCAGGAGCCTCGGGCTGCCCTACAGGCATGTGTTGCGGCGGCTCCGGTGGAGGAAACGGCTGCCCATTCAGCCCTGCACTCTGCTTCTGGCCA